AAAAAAAAAAAAAAAAAAAAGAAAGAAAGGTGTTTGGTACAATAGGCAATATCCATTGTCTTGAGACAGTTGATGCTTTTGAACAAGGACATATAAATTGAGGAATTAACTGTATTTTTTAAAAGTTGTATCTACTTACAGACAAGTAAATAAAATATTTAAAAAATCAAGTAACTTCAACATGTTTTTTAAGCAATTTAATATTATGCTAAGGCCTGAAAATCTAATGGATGAATTTTTTAAAAAATTATTCATAGATCATATAACTTCTTAGCACTAAATAATACTAAAATGCCAAAGTAGCTCCTTTGGAAAGGAAATTATAATAAGATTATACCTGTGTGTTTTACAGATTGCAAAAAATTTTTACAATTCATATATATTACCTATAGAGTTAAAAATAAAAGGAAACAATGCATATAAACTTAAATATAATAAACAGAAAAATTGGCTTGGCTCCTGTAGCTCAAGTGGCTAAGGCACCAGCCACATACACCAGAGCTGGCGGGTTTGAATCCAGCCTGGGCCTGCCAAACAACAATGACAACTACAACCAAAAAATAGCCAAGCGTTATGGCGGGCACCTGTAGTCCCAGCTACTCGGGAGGCTGAGGCAAGAGATGCCACAGTACTCTACCCAAGGCAATAGCTCAAGGCTTCTGTCTGAAAAAAAAAAAGAAAAAGAAAAATGACATTCTTTATGAAATTTAGAATGATTGAAGAAATACAACCCTTTAGTAGGGATCAAGGTAATCTCAAAAATTATGTAAGGTTAGCTTTTACTATAAACCTTCATCTCACACAGTGTACTCAAATCCTAGCATGTCTTTTCACGTGTTTTTTGCATATGTAATAGAATCAAGAAATGAAAACTTTTAATTAAACCTATAAGGGGCTGGGTGTGGTTCCTCAGGCCTGTAATCCTAGCATTCTGGGTGGCCAAGGTGGATAGATTGTTTAAGCTTAGGAGTTCAGTACTAGCCTGAGCAAAAGTGAGACCCTGTCTCTAAGAAAAAAACTAGCTCAGTGGTTAGGGCGCTGGCCACATGCACCAGGGCTGGCAGGTTCAAACCCGGCCCAGGTCTGCTAAACAAGATTGACAGCAACAACAACAACAAAAAAATAGCCAGGTGTTGTGGCAGGTGCCTGTAATCCCAGCTGCTTGGGAGGCTGAGGCAAGAGAATTGCTTAAGCCCAAGAATTTGAGGTTGCTGTGAGCTGTGAAACCATGGCAAAAACCTATATGGAACAATGAATTATTCCCAACTATAAGAATCAATTGAGAATTAAAAAGTTTTATCTGGAAAAAAAAAAAAAGAATGGAAATATTTAATATTCTCATAAGAGGGCAGCACCTATGGCTCAAAGGAGTAGGGTGCCAGCCCCATATGCTGGAGGTGACGGGTTCAAACCCAGCCCCAGCCAAAAAAAGACTGCAAAAGAAAAAAATATTCTCATAAGAACAAGTAAAACACTGACCACCAACTTCCTCTTTTGATTTTTTAGCAGTTAGGAAAGCAGGCTGTCTTGTCTTTCTATCTGAAATAGAGATGATACACTTATAACTGTTGCACTCTGGGAGGTCAAGGTGGGTGCATAGCTTGAGCTTATGGGTTTGCTCAGGCTGCTGAGCAAAAAGTGAGACCCCGTCTCTACTAACAAAACAAATAGGAAAACTGAGGCAGGAGGATCACTTGAGCCCAAGAGTTAGTGGTTGCATGGCACTCTCTCTATCCAGGGCGACAGAACCAAGAGTTATGGCACTTTCCAGGGTGACAGATTGAGACTGTCTTAAAAAGAAAAAAAAAAAAGAAAGAATGAAAGACTAATTGGGGCTGGGTGGGGTGGCTCACCTAGAATCCTAGCACTTTATGAGGCTGAGGTGGGAGGATTATTTGAAGCCAGAAATTCAAGACCAACCTGAGAAAGAGTGAGACACCCCCATCTCTACAAAAAGTAGAAAAACTACCTGAAAGTGGTGGCATGTACCTGTAGTCCCAGTTATTCAGGAGGCTGAGGCAGGAGAATTGCGTGAATGCAGAAGTATGAGGTTGCATTAAGCTATGATGATGCCACTATAGCCTTGGAACAGAGCAAGACCCTGTCTCAAACAGAAAGAAACAAGGCTTCGTGTCCATAGCACAGTGGTTACGGTGCTGGCCACGCTCACCAAGGGTGGCAGGTTCCAACCGGGCAGGGGCCAGCTAAACAATGACAACTGAAACAAAACAATAGCCAGGCGTTGTGGCGGGTGCCTGTAGTCCCAGCTACTTGGGAGGCTAAGGTAAGAGAATCACTTAAGCCCAGGAGTTGGAGGTTGCTATGAGCTGTGATGCCATGGCAGTCTACTGAGGGTGACATAGTGAGACTCTGTCTCAAAAAAAAAAAAAAAAAGAAAACAAAAATCAACTGATTGGGATTCATTGATTAACACATCTCTATTTGATTGAAATTATGTATAGTGATTATTTGATGAATATAGTAAGCTTATGTTTAGAATTTGCCTTTTTAAAGTAGGGAAGAAAGAATTAGCTACATACAGTCAGCTAATCTTCAACAAAGCTGACAACATACACTGGGGAAAGGACACTCTGTTCACAGTACTGGGAAAAGTGAATTGCTGTATCCAAAAGAATGAACTAAACCTATGTAAAACAATCAATTTAAGATAGATTAATGACCTGAATTTAACACCAAAGGCTATAAAAATACTAGAAGAAAAACCTAGGGAAAACACTTTTAGACGTTTGTCAACGAATTTATGACTCAGATCTGAAAAGCCCTGGCATTAGATACAAAAATAGACAAATGGGACTTAATTAAACTACAAAGCTTTTGCCTAGCAAACAAAATAACATGGCGAACTGACAGCCTGTGAAATGGAAGGAAATATTTGCAACCACAGGTGACTAATATCCATAATTTCCAAGAAACTCAAAACAACTGAACAAAAACAATGAAAAGCCCAAACAACTCCATTAAAAAAATGGGCTAAAGACATGAATAGACATTTTTCAAAGAAAGACAAATGAGCAAGAAGCATATGAAAAATGTCTAATATCAGGGCAGCGCCTGTGGCTCAAAGGAGTAGGGTGCCGGCCCCATATGCCAGATGTGGCAGGTTCAAACCCAGTCCCAGCCAAAAACTGCAAAAAAAAAGGTCTAATATCACTAATCATAAAGAGAAATGCATATTAAAACCATAGTGCAATATCATTTTATGCCAGCCTGAATGGATATTAAAAAGACAAGAAGTAAGAGATGTTGGTGAGGGTGCAGAGAGGAGAGAAATCTTACATACTGCTGGTGGGGATGTAAATTAGTGCAGTCTCTATTGAAAACAGTATAGAGATTTCTCCAAGAACTAAAGATAGAACTGCCATGCAATCCAGCAATCCCAGTACTGGGTATCCGCGCAAAGGAAAAGAAAAGAAATCATTGTATAAAAAGATCCCGGTCTTCATTCATCGGTAGTCCCAGCTATGTGAGAGGCTGAGGAAAAGCATCACTTTAGCCTGTGGCTTGTGAGCTGTGATGCCACAGCACTCTGCCAAGGGTGACATAGTGAGACTCTGCCTCAAAAAAAAAAAAAAAGATCGCTGCACTAATGCTTATTGCAGCATTATTTACAGTACAAAGATAGTCGATCTAAGTGTCTCATAAAGGATTGGATAAAGGAAATGTGGCATATGTGCACGATGGAATATTATTCTTTAATAAAAATGAAGGAAATGTCTTATGCAACAACCTGGATGGAACTGAAGCTATTATCTTAAGTGAATCACCTTAGACACAGTCAAATACTGCATGCTTTCACTTAGAAGGAAGAGCTAAATAATTTGTGCACTTGGAAGCAGGGAATAACATGACTTGGAGGGGTAGAGAGGTTGTGGGAATGATGGGAAATGATGCAAGGTTGCTTGGTAGGTACAATATGCATTTTTCAAGTAATAGATGGCACTAAGCGCCCTGACTTCACCACAATGCAATATATGAAGATAGCAAAATGTACTTGCTATGAATATATACAAATAAAAAAATCTAGTAGGGGCTCAGTACCTATAACTCAGTGGCTAGGGTGCCAGCCACATACACCAGGGCTGGTGGGTTCGAATCCAGCCCGGGCCTGCCAAACAACAATAATAACAACAACAACAAAAAGCCAGGTGTTGTCGTGGGCACCTATAGTCCCAGCTACTTTGGAGGCTGAGGCAAGAGAATCGCTTAAGCCCAGAAGTTGAAGGTTGCTGTGAGCTGTGACACCGCAGCATTCTACCAAGGGCGACATAGTAAGACTCTGTCTCAAGAAAAAAAAGGAAAGAAAGAAAAAAAGTTAGAAATTTCATTGAACATATTTGTATTTTTCACTCAGCTGTGAAGGTTTACACATTACCCCCCTCCACATTGGCTTGCCATAAACAACTGTCATACTCATTTCCTCATGCAACTTTTAAAATTCACTCTTTTAATGCTATTACTAATTATAATACTCTATGTGTATAGTAATTGATTTTTTCCAATATCGGTCATTAGTTTGTTAAATTGCTATCATAGGGTAATGAACTGTTTGCTGTAAGCCATTGTGTATTTATGTCAGGTGCTTAGCTGTGCCAGATGAACTAATATACTTTTAATTTTGTCTTTTTAAGGGTCAGGGTACCGATCGGCTACTTTCAACAGAATCTCATGATGAAGTAACTAATATTCTTCAGCAACCATTGGCCCTGGGTTACTTTGTATCAACTGCCAAAGCGGGTCCATTACCTGACTGGTTCTGGTCAGCATGTCCTCAAGCACAATATCAGTGTCCCCTTTTTCTTAAGGTATTGCTATTTCTATGCTAGTTCCTAACGAAGCCTAATTGAGGACTTAAATCATGAGAAATATGTGACTTTTTGAATTCTTATACTGAAATATGTGACTTTTAAAATCTTGTCTAAGTTCTATGTTCTTAAATGCATTGTTACTTACAACTGTCTAGACCAGTGTTTTTCAACCTTTTTTATCTCACAGCATACTTGAACCTATAGTTAAACTTGCGTGGCATACTTAAATTATGTTAATCAAAAAAGTGAAAAAAAGAATATACTTTGAACTATGCTTTGAACTTCTTTCAAAAATAATGTAGTTAATGATCTTTCAAAGTTTTTGTGGCACACCTAAGAACCTCTTACAGCACAGCAATTGAAAATCACTCGTTTAAAAAAAAAATCACTGGTCTAGACCATACCACAAAGAGAATTACCTAATTATAAAACAACTGTAATTTTTAAATTTTATTAAGTGTGAACTTTAATTATTCTTAAGTCAAACTCCGGGACCCTTGTTCTTAGTATAGGTTGAATATTCTTATCTGAAATGCTAGGCATGAGAAGTGTTTCAAAATTTAGATACTTTTGAATTTGGGATGCTCAATCTGTATTTTCAACTGCACATATGGAAGTTTAGAGCTGAAAGAAACTTTATATATAATCTCTAACCTTCTCATTTTCTTTAGATGATCATAATTTAAATCCAGAAAAATACCTGTCTAAAGTTATAAATTGGTAGTAAATTCAAGACTAAAACCTGGATCTTTTAACTATTATTATGTTATCCTTTGAATTACATCATAACTGCACTGCCACTGCTATTATGCTGCATTACTTAGGGGATTACATTTGAGTTAAAAATTTATTTTTTTTAGAGACAGTTTTGTTTTGCTGCCCAGAGTTGAGTACGATGGTGCAGTGATACACTATAACCTTGAACTTTGAGGCCCAAGCATCTTCTCACCTCAGTATCCTAAGTAGATGAGATCCAGGCATGTGACACCATACCTGGCTAAGTGTCTTATATTTTGTAGAGATGGTGGTTCTATGTGTTGCCTGTGCTGGTCTCAAACTTCTGGACTCAAGAAAAATTTATAATTATAGTAATAACACTTGTTTTTCTTTCTTTCTTTTCTTTTTCTCTCTTTTCTTTTTTTTCTTTTCTTTCTCAGAGTCTTAGTTTGTCACTCACGGTAGAGTGCTATGGTGTCATAGCTCACAGCAACCTCACACTATTTGGGCTCAAGTGATTCTCTTGCCTTAGCCTCCCAAGTAGCTGGGACTACAGGCACCCACCACAACATCCAGGTATTTTTAGAGATAGGGTCTTGCTCTTGCTCAGGCTGGTCTCGAACGTATGAGCTCAAGCAGTCTACCCACCCCAGCCTCCCAGAGTGTTGGGATTACAGGCATGAGCCACCGTTCCTGGCCTTTAATTTCATTTACTGCCTCCTTATAAAAAGCTTTCTAGCTTTGTGTAACTTACTATGATAAAATTAATGAATGGGTTTTTTGTTTGTTTTTTTTTTTTTCTGAGACAGAGTCTCAGCTGTCACCCTGGGTAGAGTGCCATGGTGTCAAAGCTCATAGCAACCTCAAAATCTTGGGCTCAAGCAGTTCTCTTGCCTCAGCCTCCCAAGTAGCTGGGCCTACAGGCGCTCACCACAACACTCAGCTATTTTTTCTTTTTTTGCAGTTGTCATTGTTTTTTTTAGCTGGCCTGGGCCAGGTTCAAATGTACCAGCCTCGGTGTATGTAGCCGGTGCCCTTACACACTGAGCTACAGGTGCCACCCTAGTGAATTGTTTTTAAGTACAGTAATGAGATTCTCGGGTCCAAAGTGACTTATTAAAACCAATTCATTAGTGATATAACTGAAGTTAAGATAAACCATAAAATGGTAATATAAAGTGAGACAGGGAGGCCTGTACAGGGTTGATGGCTGCTGTCACTCTTGCTCCTGTTTCAGAATAACAAGTTTAGATCTGATTGACTTAGGTAAACTCACCCTTGCCTTAGCCAAAGGTGACTGTTTTTATTCCATAAATCATGCTAATTTTAATATTTGGTTTGTTAAGGTAAAAATAAAAGATAATATGCTTTAGTTTCTTCAGGCTGTATTTAAAGCCTGTTGCTGTTAAATCTTGGTACCCTTTAGACCACATCTCATTGAGTCAGTGACATTCGAGATTAAACAATGGACTTCTGTAACACATTCATAAATAGAGTACAACAGCCGATGATCTGAATCACCTCTTAATGAGATAATATATTTAAAGAGTGTCAACCAAGATAATTAGTTTTATCGTGTGGATTTTCTTGTCCTTCCAATGTATGTGCAGTGGTCTATACAGATCTCAATACAAAAACATATTGTGAAGGGATTTTCTGCAGAATAGTAGTCCTTGGAACCTCACAAAAACTAAGAATTCTTTGGTCCCTTGGGAAGTGCAGCACATAACTGTCTGTCCCCTTTTGTAATCACAATACATGTATGCACACTACAGACTCTGAAAAACAGCAGGAAATAAGATTGTTTACCTGGCTTTTCTTAAACTTATTTTAATACACAAGAAAAGGATTGTGTAACAATTCTTAATAGTTTATTACCTTAGTATTTCAGGGCACATTTTTTTAGGAAACACTACTTTACAAAAAGTCCAAAGGACTATCCAGATTCTTTTCTACTCAATATTTGCAGAGAGGATAGTGTAAAGTGGGCATTCACCCTCAGATACAGTGTAACTAAAGATTAGGACTTCTGGTTCTGAATTACCAGGTAAGGTATAACTTAACCATAATTCTGTTCATCTTTTTATATGTCCCATTTTTATTTTCATATATGCGCAGTAAAATCACTGATATGTTTCTCTTTGCTTGGAAGAATAGTGGGTTGTTACCTAGATGGTTAAAAATATTTTTATTGGGCGGCACCTGTAGCTCAGTGGGTAGGGTGCTAGCCATATACACCGAAGCTGGCAAGTTCAAACCCAGCCTTGGCCAGCTAAAACAATGACAACTGCAGCAATAACAACAAAAATAGCTGGGCATTGTGGCAGGCACCTGTAGTCCCAGCTGCCTGGGAGGCTGAGGCCAGAGAATTGCTTGAGCCCAAGAGTTTGAGGTTGCTGTGAGCTGTGATGCCACAGCACTCTACCAAGGGTGACAAAGTGAGACTCT